TGTGCTGCAGTCCGTGGGGTCGCAAAGAGTTGGACACAACTGAGCAACTGAACTGAATAGCTGATTATTTGAGCTTCTGTTCTGAGTCTGGTATTTTGTTTACACTATTAAGGACAACCCCAGAGCGAGCTTCACATCCTACATGCAAACAATTGACAAGTATCATTGGTTGGATCTCACAATTCACATCCAGCAACTCCCACCGCCACTACCCTCGTGGGACCTGCCCCGGGACCTCGTCCCCTCACTGGACGTGGGACCTGCCTCCTGCAGAGAGGAGACAAGTCCTCGTTCTGTTCTATGTCCCCTCCTCGATGTAACTTCCAGGGATCCTCCCGTGCACTGGGGATGGGGCTGGGAGGACCGGGAGGAATCCCCACCTGAGTAAAACTAGAGGCCCCGTGTGTGGCCAGGAAGAAACGCCTGGGTTTGTGTCCTGTGTGTCTGCCTTCTCATTTCACTCCTCTTGATACAAGGAGACCCGCCTCAGGCAGGAGGCCTGGAGACAAGGCCCTCTCTGGGAAGCCTTCCCCAGAGCCTCCCTTGCACCATACCCGCGCACCAGCTAGAGCTCACCACCATCAGGACTGCCCTGATGGGCGTGCCTTGCACACCTCACATCGACTCTGATGTGAATGGCACCCCCGAGGGTTTGCGCAGGAGCTGCATAACTGAATACAGCAGGTGTGGACAGATACCCCAGAGAGGAGGAAAGCCGACTTGCGCGTGGTGGGGTCCTTTACCTCTCTTGGCAGGAGCTGGACAGAAGTTGGTGTTACAGGCCCGCAGCACCGGAGGCTTCTGCCGCAGCAGACAGCTCGAGGAAGGCCGGCCCTGCTGGACACAGTGGACAGAGCGCGTCTGCACCCCTCCGCCACAGGTCACGGTGCACTGCAGGAGAGGGGGACAGGAAGCAGTCAGGAACCAGCCCTTCCTGATGTCACCGACAGCAGGGAGAGAAATCTCCGTGCCTCGGGACATTTCCAAGGTGCCTGTCGATGAAACAGGGCTTGTCCAGAGCTGGGCACATGAATCCACTGAGCCTCTCCTCTAACACGTTTCGGGCGCCGTTTGATCTGATTAGAAGGCTCTGAAGCAAATGCCATCTGCTTCCCCCGAGACCCTGTGTCTCCCAGTCAAGTTAACTCAGGAAGAAGAGAGGTTCCAGGCATACAGAAGCTGCCACAGGAATGCAGAAGCGAATACAGACACATCCAACCAGTTCATCACAGTATTTAAAGAATTCCAGGCAACCTCTGCAGATACAATAGTGGAGGGGATGGTTCAGAACTTGGACAGCCAAAGAAATATAATGCTCTGAGACAGCTTAGGAATTATGTCCTCCCTGCCCAGCCAAATTCTGAGACAGCATGGTGGATATTGTGTTTTGGAGAAGTCGATTATGTCACTGTCCAACGGAAGGTAAGAAAAAAAAGACTAAAAAGGACTGTCCAGTAATTTTTTTCCAGGCACACATATAAAGATATTTCCTAACAAAAGAGCAAATAAGAAAACATTATCAGAGAAAAGATAGCCCTTTAAATTAATCTTTACATGTATTTTGCTTTAAAAAAAGTTCACTACCAGTTCATTATCCTTACTATTTTTTTCCTATTTTATTGCGGACAGGTGAGGACTTCCACTTGGGACAAACATCACTGTGCAGAGTGGCTTCTGAGAGGAAAAAACATGTTGTGGTAAAAAGAGTATGAGTTTTGGAATTAGTGCTAAATTCAAAGACAGCTGTATCAGTTACCAAATCATCTCAGTCAGAAGATGGCTAACTATTTTTGTGAAGAACAAGTGAGTATTTTAATTTGTTAACTGAGGTATAGTTGATGTACAATATTATGTTAGTCTCAGGTATACGACAGAGTGATTAAAAATTTGTATAGATTATATTCCATTATGGTTATTATAAAATATTGGTTAATCCCTTTTCTTTGTAGCTTATTATATATATATACACATATACACATACACATATGTACATATCATATGTAGTAGTTTGTACCTCTTAATGCCTCTCCCCCTCCAGTAATCACTGGTTTGTTCGCTACATTTTTTCTACTCCCACATAAGTATCATTGGAAAAAATGTTTATTCAATTCTTCTGCCCACCCCCCTTTTGACTGGGTTGTTTTTTGACACTGATTTGTTTATATGTCTTAGATATTGTCCCCTTATTTTTCACCAACATTTGCAAATATTTTCCCCCAGTCAGTAGGTTGTCATTTTATTTTGTCCATGGATTTCTTTGCTGTGAACAAGTCTTTAAGTTTAGTTAGATACCTTTTATTTAGTTTTGCTCTAGTTTCTCTTGCCAGAGGAGGCAGATCCAAAGAAAATATTGCTCCACTTTACGTCCAAGGACGTTCTATGTTTTCTTCTAGGAGTTTTATGGTTTCTGGTCTTACAGTTCAGTCTTTAATCCATTTAGAGTTTATGTTGTACATGGGATGAGAAAATGTATTCATTTCTGGCACGGTTTTCCCAGCGCCAGTAACTGCCGAGACTGTTTTCTCCACTGTATACTTTTGCCTCTCTGTTGTAGATTAATCGTCCCTAAGTGCATGGTGGGGTCGGGGTCAGGGAGATGCTGCCTTCTGAAGCACACAGCCAGGTCCTGGAATGAGTGCCAGCCCGGGGCAGGCAAGGCCAGGTCCTGGCGTCTGGCGGCTGAGTCCAGAGGGGTGGCCGGCCCTGGAGGTGGCGGCGAGGGGGCCGTTTTCTGACACAGCCGCTGCGGGGTCCAGCACGTCTCCGAGCTTGCGTGGGTCTGGTGACAAGGGGGGCTGGACCCCAGGGCGGCGGGCAGCCAGGGTGCCTCCGAGCTGGTGCAGGCCGCTGGTGGGCAGGCTGGGTCCCGCCGGGGAAGGCTGGGGTCCATCCGCTGGCGGGAGAGGCTGGGTCTGCGGCTACGGCACGCTCACTGGGAGGCTGGGCTTGGCCTGGGGACTCCAGGCTAACGAGCTGGAGGGGGATTACAGAATGCTGCTTGCAGCACCAGCGTCCTTGCGTAGGACGGGCTCCCAGAGAGTCTGATGCCACTGTCTCTGCCCTGGGGTGTGTCGCAGCTGATTCCTTCTCCAGAAGACTCTGCAGGATCGGCGGGAGGTCTGCCCAGGCGCCTTTCTCAGCATTGCTGGGCCCGAGAGCTCAAAGCGCATCCTGGCAGAGTGGTGTGGCTGTTTCCCCCGGCGCTCTGGGACGCCTGAACGTGGGCTCCACTGGCCTGCAAGCCCAAACCCGCTGAGGGCTCGCCGTCCTCATGCAGAGCCCCTGCTCCTGGGGGGCAAGCTCTGCGAGTCTGGTTTTCCTCTGAAATGTGCACTGCGACTTTGTCTGTCCCACCCATCTCATCGTGGCTCCTTCTTAAGTCTTTAGTTGTAGAAGCTCTCTTCTGGTGAACGTGTTAGTCACTCAGTCATGTCTGACTCTCCCTCCAGGCGCCTCTGTCCATGGGATTCTCCAGGCAAGGACACTGGAGTGGGCTGCCATGCCCTCCTCCAGGGGACCTGCGTCTCCTGCATGGCAGGCAGATTCTTTACCATCTGAGGCACCAGGGTAGGTTCTGGTCTTTAAAGAGCCGATACTTTGGTGTGCCCGCAAACCCCTACTCTGCCATGTGGGGAACTCCCGTCTCACAACAGTAAGTATTTTAGGTTCTATGGGCCGTAAACCTTGGTTGCAATTACTCACCTCTGCACTAAAGCAGCCATAGACAACACACACAAATGAGGATGGTTGCTGTCTAATGAAAGTTTACCCACAAAAACAGGCAGCAGTAGGGGGAGAAGATTTGCCACTGGTAATTATTTGCTTATATCTGATCTAAATAATTCTGCATGAGTCAATTGTCAAGTCTGTTAAATGAGTAAAATAATTGTAGAAAATTTTAAAAGAAATCCAATTTCATGGTGAGGCTGGCAGCACCTCTCAAGCCAGAGTTGTTTTTTCTGAAGAGCTATGTAACACCTGTTAGCTATAACAATGCAAGGACCAACCAAACCATAGCTTTGGATTCCTGAGGACGTGTTGTTCTCTCAGACTCAGCATCACAAACCAATCCCAGCTCATAAGCATCACACTGATGCATCTAAAGTTTCTTCCAAGTCTTCTGAGGAAAAGGACACCTGTAACATCTGAATTTAAAACTTGTGTGTCATTGGCGGATCAACTGCCTAACTCTTTACCAGCCTCATCCACAAAACAGGGACAATAATACCCACAAATAAGACCACTTCCCCAGTGGCTCAGCTGGTAAAGAATCCACCTGCAGTGCATGAGATACAAGAGATGTGGGTTCCATCCCTGAGTCAAAAAGATACCCTGGAGGAGGAAATGGCAAACCCACTTCAGTATTCTTGTCTGCAAAATCCCTAAACAGAGGAGCCTGGTGGGCTACATTTCACGAGGTCACAAAGCACGACTGAGTGAACATACAGCGTCACCTCCACGATGAAGGGAGGAGACAGATGCGTGTGCAGCATGTAACACACTGCATGGAAGTGGTGTGACAAATGCCAGCCATTAGTGACACTACTCAGAAACACGAGAACCACGTGAGTCAGGACTCTTGAGCAGCATTTCTAAAACACAGGAGGCTCTAGTGGTGGTTTTAATAGCAGCAATGACAGTGAACATTAGCAGTACCTTGGGACTAACTGCTTTGTATTATTCATTAGGCAAAAAAAGAAAAGAAAAAACCTAACTCTGCACAATATTATCATCTCAGTTTTGTAGATGTGAAAATGGAGGCTCACCGATGCTGGAACCTGCCCAGGAACTCAGGTCGTTTGGACAGGTCCCTAACAGCAGCAGTTGTAAACGGAATCTCGCTGAACTTTCACCCCCCTCAATCTCTCCGTGCTCACCTGTTGCCATGGCGACGAATACCACCCAGCTGCTGGACTGTACGCTGGACGGGCTGGACATGCCCCCCGGTTGCAGGTTTCCTCCAAGTCCAGGTTTGGCTTCTTAATATTGCGGCACCTTCGCTCGGGGAACGTCACCAGCTTGCCTTGGAAGGCCTTCTCGCTGCATTTCATCTCCCTCTTCCTCACTCCCAAACCACAGCTCACGGAACACTGGGGGCCAAGAAAGGAGGCGTCAGGGCGCAGACTCCACCCTCCACATGTCATCAGAGGGATGGGACTAGGGCAGATCAGCCACAGCCCACCAGGCTCCTGAAGGCAGGGCCTCAAGTCCGGCCTGCGACAGAAGCCAGAGAATTGGAGTCACTTTCCCAAGGTCACAGCATGGCTCAGCACCACAAAACAAAGGCCAGCCCTGCCATCACACACCAAAGCTGCCTTAAGGCAGGAAAAACAAAAAGAGGATGGAGGCTGATGAAAGAAGTCTGAGGAAACCGCTTTTGTTTTTTTTATGTGACTGACTGCTATTTTATTTAAATATTTCCTTACTTCCACTGTACAGATTTTCTTTTTCAAAAACTTTAAATTTTGTATTGGGGCACAGCTGATCAACAACGCTGCGACAGTTTCAGGTGAAGAGCAAAGGAACTCAGCCGTATAAATGCATGTGTCCACATGTGCACGGGTGCCCCACCCCGCTCCCACCCAGGCTGCCGTGACCTGGGCAGAGTCCCCTGTGCTCGGCAGGAGGCCCTTGTTGCTCATCCATTCTCGATGCAGCGGCAGGTACACGTCAGTCCCGAACCCCTCAACCATCACTTCTCCCTCGGCAACCGCAGGCTGGCTCCACTGTCTATTTCATAAGTTCATTTGTCTTTAGATTCCACACAGAAGGCATGTCACAGGATATTTCTCTTCTCTGACTTACTTCACTCAGCAAGACAGTCTTTAGGTTCATCCATGTGACTGCACATGGCATTAGAGAAAACCATTTTTAAGTATTTTAAACAGTATTCTGGGACACTGTACAGGGCCTTGATGAACTGCATAAAGCAGTAAGAAATGGCATCAGCATAACCATCACAGATCATGAAGGCGAGGGATCAGATCAAGACGGCAGAGAGGCAGGATGTGGGGCTCCCCTTCTGCCCCGAAGACATCAAAACCAGTTATGTGGAGAACGAGTCTCACAGAACGTCTAGCCAACGCTGGCAGAAGACCTCAGAGCTCCCAAAATGGGTAAGAAAATCTGCACAAAACCAGGTAGGACAAAAGGGGGATTAAAAAAGAGGAATTGGGCCAGGACCTGCACCGGGGAGGGAGCTGAAAGGGGAAAGCTTTCTGTACTCGGGAAGCCCCCCACCGGCAGGGAGGTCAGCCAGGACAGTGGAGCTTTGGAGGAGGGCGCAGCCTGGGGGTGTGGACAGAGGGACCGCCAGGCACTGCCGGCCAGAGACGCTCCCCGGCGGGGCTGGGCAGGTGCTGAGGCTCGGCTCCAAGGGCAGACCCTGGGAAGCACGGGGCTGGTGACAGGCAGGCAGGAAAGGGGACGGCAGCCAAGAGAGGATGGAAGAGGTGAGGGCTCACCGCCTGCCTTACACCGGAGGGGCGAGGCATCACCGCGCTGGCCCGGGAACGGGGGCAGACTGCCGTCAGAGCGTCCTTCTCTGCTCCTGTGTTCTCAGGCAGCAAAGTCCTAGGATCCTCTACCCCGCGAGGCTACCATTTCAAATGGAAGGAGATAAAGAATTTCTCAGACAAGCAAAAGCTAAAAGAATACAGCAACACTAACTCTATCATACAGGAAATTCTGAAAGGTCTTCTCTAAATAGCAAAGTAGCAAGAAGATACAGGAAGGAGGACATCACAAATGGAAAGTAAATCCACCTAAATCAGCCAGTATACAGATCAAAGAGAGAAAACCATGTGTGAGGGCAGTGACACACACAATGAGCAACAAAGGATGCACAAGGCAATGGAAAAAAGGGACATCAAAATCATAAAATGTGGGGAAGGAGAGGAAGAAGACGATTTTTCTTTTTTTTTGGAATGTGTTTGAGCCTATATGACTACCTGTCCAAAGCAAGCAGATATAGGAAGGGGCTAACATACTTGAAAAACAGGGCAACCACAAATCAAACCACAGTATAATTCACAGAAACCAAAAAGAACACAAGCATAAACGGAAAGGAAATCATTAAACCACCAGAAGAAAAGGAAAGGAACAAAGAAAGAATGGATAAAGCAGATGTGGTCCATCTATATAATGGAATACAACCCAGCCATAAAAAAGAATGAGATCATGCCATTGGAGGCAACATGGATGAACGCAGACCATCCTCCTAAGTGAAGTTAGTCAGAAAGACAGACACAACCACCAGACGGCAGCATTTATATGTGAAATCTAAAATATGGCACAAAAGAATACCTACAAATCAGAAACTGACTCACAGACACAGACGACAGACTTGTGGTTGCCAAAAGGAAGGTGGGGGGGATGGACTGGGAGTTTGGGGTTCACAGATGCAACCTATTACATTTAGAATGGATAAACAAGGGCCTACTGTATACAGCACAGGAAACTAGATCCAATATCCCGGGATAAACATAATGGAAAAGAACATAGAAAAGAGTGTGTACGTGTTTATAACTGAGTCCCCCAGAACTTAGCACAACACTGTAAATCAACTATACTTCAATAAGAATAAATGAGGAAGGAGGACACTGAGCTTCGTACCTGCAGCAGCTCTGGGAGGGAGCTGCAGGTGTGGGCTGCACTCTGCAGAAGAGGAAAGGGAGCTTTAGCCCAAGGTCGGATCCGTAGTCATCACTGAAGGATCCTGTGAGTGGGCGGCCTGACCCAAGCCCAGCCCTTTGGCCATTTGGTTATAACGTCTCATAAAGAAACCGAGTGAGGAGGGGAGAGACAGGTGCTCTGATCTGCACTTAGCCACACAAAAGGGAAGGGCACTGCTGGGAGAAACCCAAAGATGCTGGGACAGCAGCCCCTCCTCCACTGGACGCCCGCCCCCAGTCCCCACCAGTGACCTTTTTCTTCCATGGCCACTGTCTTGCTCACTAGACAGTGGACTCCATAAGAGCAGAGACCTCGCCTTAGGGGTTAGTGATGCGTACTTCCGGTTTGATCTCTGCTCACGTTTCCTATGCCTGGGAATGCAAATGAGTGTCCCAAGCTAGGAATCTAGGAGGCATCTTCAAGACTTCCCTCTCCCCACCCAACAGATGCCTGAAGGTGCCTGCCGGCCTCTTTAAGAACTCTCAGAGAAGACAAATACTGTGTATTAACACATGTATATGGAAAATAGAAAGATGGTACTGACATGTGCGGGGCAGCAAAGGAGACACAGACATAAAGAACAGACTTTCGGACTCGATGGGAAGAGCAGAGAGTGGGATGATTTGAGAGAATAGCGGTGAAACATAAACATTACCATGTGATGTTTATGATGTGAGATAACCAGTGCAAGTTTGATGGATGACGCGGGGAACCCAAAGCCGGTACTGTGACATCCAGGAAGGGTAGGGTGGGCAGGGAGGCGGAAAGGGGTTTCAGGATGGAAGTGACACGTGTAACCCACGGCAGATTCATGCTGATGTATGGCAGAAACCATCACAATACTGTATCCTCCAAAGAAAGAAGGAAAGAAAGCACTCTCCAGGACCCTGCTTTCCTGCATCCCTGAAACATTTCATCTTTCGTTTGCATCCCTGCAATATCCACGAGGGCGCCTTTCCTGCCTCTGGGCTTGGGATCCTCTCTCTCTGAAATGAAACCCTGATTGTTCCACTGCCTTATTTAAATTTTTAACTAGCTCCCCCAATGTTAACAGGATCTATTTCTAGTCTGCCATCCCAGAAGCTCACGATCTGTGCTTGATGAAGCTTCCAGCTTCTACCCATCCCCATTCATTTCTCCTATGTCATACTCTCCGCTCTGCCCATACAGGGCGCAGCCTTTGTCTGACCAGCCCCGACCCCATCTTTGCCGGATTCCTGCTCATCCCTCATGCTCACTCTCCCTGGAAAATCTCTTCTGCCAAGGTTAAGCTTTCCGAGGCAATCACAGACCCCATCATGGCACTCCGCTCACCTTACCTGTATTTTTATACACACGCTTTCTGCGATTTGGTACCTCCACCATCCAAGCGTTGCCTCGTCACTGAGACGGGTGTTTTATAATCGGGATTTCATGGAGAAATCAGTGGGGAAGGATAACAGTAAGTAGCTACCTGGTCTATGTGTGCAAGCCTCCGGATGCTGGTGGATGAGCTGAGCATTTCAGAAACCCTCAGGAGTGCATCCGGCCTCCTACCTCACTCCACGAGGAGATGAGCCACTGGAGCCGGCTGTTCTTGGGACAGCGTCCGAGCACGCAGCCCTCCTGTGAGTCCGGTCTCGGGGAGCCGGCGCACGCGCTCTCGGGCACCGCCTCTGCCTCGGCCGCGCGTCGACACGTGACTTCACGCTTCCGCACTCCTCGCCCACAGGTCTTAGAACACTCGAGATTAAAATCGAAAACAGCCATTAGATGCCAGTCTCCACTGACTGTTGCAGGCGAATGCTTGGAAAAGCATTAATGCAGGGTTTACAAAGCTAGTTTTAAGCACTCGGACCAAATGCCCAGTAAAAATTCCTTGTAGTCAGCAGGAGAAATCTTTCCTCCATCCAGAGACTCTGAGTCCAGATTAGCATCTCCTTCAACAATCTGAACACTCGGGGGCTGCTGTGTTGTCCCAGATCTGAAGACAGGTTTCAGTGTTCATGGAGAAGAGAGGGTTTCTGTGCATAGCACACGTGATAACCACCTGGAAAAGGTCCAAGGCCCACTTGTTGTAGTAACTGAGCCTCTCGGTGGCACAAGGCAGAGTCAGCCTGGACATCTGGCTAAAGAGGATTCTCAGTGATTTGGACAAGGAATAATAGAACCATAATATGCCTGACAGCAACGGCCACACACTGTGGCACTCATAAAAATGGGTTGGGGGTGTCCAAATCTTGCCCTACTGTCTGTGTTGTCTACCTGTCTTGTCTTCTGCTATCTCTAGGCTGGGCACTGTGCTAACTCTCAGGGAGAATTAAGTCAATGCTCATCAAATGTTTGGGAATAACTTTGCTAATACTCTTCTCTTCCTACTATCTTGACCTCCATAAGACCTGTGAAATAAGGAAGGCAGCAAGTTATTCCATGGTTTTCAGATTTGTGGTTCAAACGTCTTCTAACTGATCTTAACAGCTTTTGAACCACAACTCTGAAAGCCAGGACAGAAATTATCTCATGGGGTGGTTAGGGGGTCATGCGGTATAGGCTCTGGTATATACTCAAGTGTATCATTACACAGAAAGCATTAAATGAATGTTCTCTGTTGTGGTTGGTTAAGTCTGATAATATCAGCATCCTGTCTCCATCTCCCTTACAAATACGAAGGATGAGACTTCCCAGTGGTCCTCTTGCTATTATCCCATTTTAAAGGGGAGGCGTCTGAGAGTCAGCCACCTGCCAAGTTGCGGAGATGAGCAAGGATGTCTGACGTCAGACCATGGCTCTGCAACATGGAAACTCACTCGTTCATGGTTCTAACATCTAGGTGGTTAATTCTTATTCAATAGAATTCTTATTTATATTTGTGACTTTCTTTTTCCAGAATGGTAAAGTTTTCCATCTGCTTCTGAAATGATTTCCAGGGCCATGTTCTCTAATGGCAGGTGGGTCCTTTGCCACTAGCACCACCTATCCGGCCGCATGGTCATCACCAAAAAGGCTAAAAATCACAAAAAATGCTAATTAAAATGCCCATTCACACTGACTGGGTGTGATCCCATGAAGGTGTAAACAGCTGAGATCCTCTGGAGGGGAAGCAGAGACACCACATGTATCTTTGTCTCCTTCCTTTTCCACGGGGAACAGGACTCACGGCTCCAGTAATTCCCACTTACCTGAGACCAGGGCCCAGGGCTCCATTCCGGAGGGCAGGCATGGCTATTGCAGGCTTGAACCTGAGTGGGTGTGCTCACCGGGCAGAGAGAGTGCAGGACTGCCTCCTCCTTCTGGAAGGGCTTCTTCTGGATGCACTGCACCTTCCGGCTCTTCTGGCCTCCTCCGCACGACCTGCTGCAGGCGCTCCACTCGCCTGGCTTCCAGCTTTCAGGGAGAGACGGGATTACTTCCGGGGAAGCTAAGACTCTGGATCATCGATACCAAAGCAGTTACTGCGAAAGATTAGCCACCTGATGGAAGCCTTTGCTCCACTGCAGAACCAACAACCAACAACTGATTCTTCTTCTATAGATTTTCAAGCCTATAAGAATATGGTCTGTTGGTAGGGAATCATGGTCTATTGCCCCATAGTTCTGGGGAAAGATACATTCCTGCTATCTATAGGTGAAGAAATGTGTGCTGTGTGGAACTCTGAGTGATTCAGTCTAATTTACTGGATCTTTAACCCTGTGCCAGAGACCCTCCCAGGCATTAGGGTTGGGAAAAATGAATGAAACAAGGCTCTTCCCATGAAGCTGCCTGTGGAAGTGGTGGCTGTGTGAACACATCAAAGCAATACTTTCTGGTCATTTCTACAATAGAAGTCAATGCAAAGTATAATAATGAGACTATCGACCACAAGATCAATGAAGAAGGGAGAGGTGTGCGTGTGCATGTGTGTGCTCACACATGCAAAAGGGGGACACATTGAGAGAGGGTCTCCCAAAGAATGTTTCTAAGTAGGTGGTTCCCCCAACCTCTTTTCCTGGTTAGCCTTAAAGTCTATGGTTGGGTTGGAGGTATAACCTCAAGTTTCTTATTTCAAGATTTCGAGCTCACTTTTTTCACAGCTATTGTATTTGAGACTTGGTGTACACTAAAGAATGATCATCTGAAACCGTAAATCCTATTTAACAACCACCTCGGGTTAATCGAAATCATCTGATTCGAAGGCCTAGCATTAAAAAGATCCACCAGATAAGATGGTGACACATTTCAAAGCAGCAGAGTCCAAACACTGTTCACAAATGTTTTAGGTATTATTTGAAGACATAAAACATCACGAGGACCAAGTATGCTTTTCTTATATCTCTGCACTATTGCATTTGCCTAGTCCTGCTATTTTTTGCTCTGGCTCCCCCACCCGCAAGCCCAGGTTGTGAGGTTAAACACCTTTCTGTTGGTCTGGAGAACTTTCCACACAAGTTCTAGGATT